CCCTCCCCTCCCGCGCTAGCCTAAGGGCCACCTTAGCAAAGCGCATCCCAGGCTGCATAGCCGCACTACCCTACCCAACCATACCACACATAAACATGACACTACCCCCGGGGTTTACACAGACGAGCCGGCGAAGCAAGAAGAGCGCCAGAAGAAAGGGCCCTAGCCGGCGGGGCCCAGCCAGGACAAAAGGAGGTCCCACAAAGCGCCTACACCGGCCGCATTTGCGGTCGGGGTAGACGACGGATGGGGCCCACCTACGAAGGCTGTCCAGGCCTACACGAGATGAGGCAGGATAAAGAGGGATAATCCCCCTCGATCACAAATCATTGAGGCCAATTTCTAGTCATGGAATAATGGCGCGCGTCGCTTAAAAAAACATAGTTTCACAAACTTTCAAGTGCCTAACCTACATATTTTCAGAATAATCGCAAAAAAAACGATTTAAAATTTTAACTTTCAACACCCTGTATTTCCGAAACTATCAACTTTCAGAGGCATGTTTACGCCAATGGTCACCATTTTACATGTAGTATCTTCAGCTTTCGATTTTCCCATTGTTAATGAATCACCCTGTATATTTTCGAGATGTTATAGTATGTCGACTAAAATATAAATATGTGTTGACTTTTTGATAGGTACTTTTTCTATGCATTTGTATTAAAAGTCGTGGAAGGTACCTTGAGAAAATATTGGCACTTTTCGATATATACAAACTAGAACGGCACTTTTTTGTAAAATTGTTCTTTTATACGATTAGACTCTTGCACTGACAAAAACTCTGCTTTTCGGTGCCAAAGTTTAGTACATTGACTTTGATACGGTCGTATGTTTGATCAACATGAAACATTAACTTCAGTTGTGGCTCGTGGCAACATATATTGCTATATCTTTAATATTGCACTATTTTAATCATGAGCGTAGCTACAAGCCCTATGGAGGCCTCTAAAAAAAAGCTTTCGCAATTAGCGACTTACCGATATAATGTTTGAACACATTTTGATTTGATTCTAAAAACAATAAAAAAAACGTCACAGTCACCAAGTTACCGATATGACAAAGATAATATTAGATCTTTTTACTGGGGTAGGCACCCGGCTTTCTGGGGTGGGCTGTGCACACCCCTGCCCCCGTAGCTACGCCCCTGTTCAAAATGAATATGTAATTTAATTGTACACTTTAGGTAATAAAATTTTACGTTACAAAAATTTGAAAAAGGTGCAGAATTTTAATAATGAGACTGTTTTATAGCTTTGAGAACAAAAATATATGTGTGCAAGAGATCTACCTATTTAAAATTAAATTAGTTTAATTATTACACTGCTAATTCTGCTTATGCATGCACTTGATGAATTTCATATAATTTTTTTGTGTACTAAATATGTTGTTCCTTGATACGATTATCACATTAGAACAGCTTCTTGCTCTTACTTGTAGGTAAATCATAAAGTTATAATTTAGTCGCATCTGAACCGAAATTTTGACCACTATATTTTGTGGCAGCATTCAAAACACTCGATTTACCTAACTACACAATCAAAAGTTGTAGACCGAATTGTGTTTCTGCATGTTATATACTCACGCAGAAATTATTTAAATTGTTAATAACTAATATTGAGTTGGATAATGGCAATCAAATTGATAACGCTGATGTATTAGCGCCTTAAGAGAAACTGAAGTGGCATTGGTCATCTCATTCAAAGTATATAAAGGTTTCTTGACAACCACTTCTTTATAGCGATCTTAGCTTAGGAAATGCCAATATATTCAGAGAGCCAGAGTTACCAGATTTAACGCCATTGTGGCGATACAAACATACTCAAATGGTTTCCAAAAATTTCACATAACGACTGGCGATTTTTTGACGATTTTTAATATACCTATTTGTAGGGACTAGCTGTTTAACTTTTATTTAGTTTTCTAAATGATGGTAGTAATTATTTGATCTAGTATCACTTGTTTTATTTCCATTACATGGTAATGATATTTACCGAAATATTTGATTTTTCAGTTTTATTACATACTTTTATTTCAAACAGATGGAGGTATTTTGCTAGTGTATTTCCATCTAGTGGCAATAATAGATATTATAGATAAAATTTCTCTGGCAACCCTGAGGAGAGCTTTAAGCTCCAAACTTCTCAGATTATTTCTGAACGCAGCCCCGCATTAAATTTAATTTGGATTTAGATTGCCAACTGTATAAAGAAAAAAATAGAAACGAAACTATTTTTGATTTACTTTAACCTTAATTTTCAAAAAGTTGTAAATTAACAAGAGTAATATGGAAATTGAAAAAAATGATGATCCAAGTATAAACCCGGTTTCATTAATTAAATATGATAAAACATGTAGAGCTTGTTTAAATGAAAACGATAATATGGTATCAATTTACCATCCTGACATTAAAAACATGTTCACTTATTGTACTTCCTTAGAAGTAAGCTAGAACACTGGTTTTGTCTACGTAGAATGTAGAATACTTAAAATCTTAAAAAACTTATTTTGTAGATAAACAACGATGACAAATTACCGAGTTTAATCTGTACACAGTGCAAAGCAGAATTATTAAGAGCCCATAATTTTAAAAACTTATGTATCAAGTCACATAACATTTTACTGGAATACCTTTCACGTTATAAGTTAGATGATATTGAAATAAACTTAAATGATTTATTACGAACCGATCTCTGTGATCCAAACATAAATATTAATTATGATCTTCCAAGAGAAGACAAAAATGTTATAGATATAGTTGACAAACAAATCAAAGAGATATTAGAAGAACATATTAATAATTGTGATGATGATGACCTTAACATCGAAGATACCAGCCAACTTTTGAAAGACAATATTTACAAATGTAGTATTTGTTCAGAAACTTTTAAATTAGAAGCAGATCTCCAAACACATAAAATAGGTCATCCCAGCGATGGTGTGCCGAAATGTACACTTTGTAATAAGCTATTTAATGATGCCAAAATTTTAAGAAGGCACGTCAGAATACATTTACAGCTGAAACCATTTCCTTGCACTATGTGTAACAAAAGTTTCTCAGGTAGGTACATACTCTTTTATAATAAACAAACTACTTTTCTGATAAAACTATTCTTTTTTTTTCAGAATCGGGGAGCTTAACCCGTCACTTAAGAAAACACAGAGGTGAAAAGAGACACATTTGTTCAGCGTGTGGAAAAGGCTTCTATGAAGCCAATGTATTGGCAATTCACATGCGTATTCACACAGGTGAAAAACCGATAACTTGCGACATCTGTAGCAAAAAATTCTCAGATCCTAATGGATTGAGAAGTCACATGAAGTCACACACAGGTGAAAAAAATCATGTTTGCAACATTTGTAACAAGTCTTTCTCACATTCGTTTGTTCTAAAGAAACATTTGAGGGTGCATACTGGTGAGAGGCCATTTGTTTGTCATACTTGCGGCAAGACTTTCACACAGGTACCTACTATTAAAAAGATTTATAGAATATCCAAGATTCTCCTCCATTCTATTTTCAAACAGAACTATGTTCGATTATTTTTTATAACTAAAGGAACAATAAACAATAACTTTAAAACTACTCATTTCAGAGAAAAAAATGTAGTGGAATCTTTTGTTATAAATATGTTTTTAAATACATTGTCAAAACTTCAGACAGGTCGTTGAGAATTTAAATTTTTTTAGATGTGATGCTCCTTAGAAAATTCAAAATTTCTATGCCAATAGATAATTCAATAATATTTTTAAATATTTGATAATGAAACTGTAGGTATTTAAAATTATACTTATAATCACAAAATTCTTATAATAATTGTGTTTACAATGTGTATTTATTCAACTGTAATATAAGTTTATTTTGAATTAAAAAAGTAGTAACTTGAACACGAAATACAGTTAAAAAATCAAATGTATTTATCATAATCTGAAATACTTAACACCAACAAAATTTTTGTTAGGGTAGCAGTATCTACTTGTATTTCGCCACTGGTTGACATAATTGTATTCATATACTTTTACTTAGTAATCATTGACCCAAATTTCACTAATCGACTACAAATATCTTCAGATATATTTGTATAAATATTATTCAAAAATTTTAACGTCTTATTTATAAAAACTAAATTATTTAGAAGATAGGTTCATAGAACTTTTCTTCTCAAAATAATCTAAGAAATAACATCCTGAAATATTTTTGCATACTTAAATACATTGTGAATATTAACGAAATCACACACGGGAGACAGCCAGCAGCTTTTTAAGTAAACAAGAACATATTGTTATTAATACATTATCATTGTAGGTAGATAGGTGTATAAATATTTTTTTTTTCACTAAAATAGTCAGCCACTGATTGTTGTGTACACCCTCGCTTAAATGTTACAACCTTATTCCCCCTACCTCCTCGTTATTTTTTTGTTAAAAAGTCATTTAGTCATGTTTTTGATGTTTCCATTTGTTTTAAAAATACTTGGATATCTAATTTTCTTGAAAGTTTAGTGAATTAATATGCAGAGACTTCCTAACTGATTCCATCATAACTTATTCCATCATGTATTCATTTGTTCGTTTGTATATTTCCTTCGCGTTGGTTATTGAATTTTGGTAAAATTAAAAGTTATCGAAACAATAAGATCAAGGTTTCATTAAAACACAGTATTCTGTTTTACCAGCTTGTGATTGGTCTAATTTTTACATTTTATTCATCCAATCAGCAGCCGCATTATCATGAGTGTACCTGCAACAGTTTGTCATAGGTCATTGTAAATGAGGTATTAATATTGGTGACGCTAAGATTTAGGGATTTTTAGTTGACAATACCAGTCGTGCAATGTTGATTGCCTAAGCTCGGCGGTCACTTGGCTTGTAATTATTTCTGAAAGCTTTGTAGATGATAAAAATATTTGAAAATATTGAAATATGCGTTTTTTAGAGTCACTACGTGAAAATACATATGAGGCAGCATACTGGAGAATTACCATACATGTGCATGATTTGCCATAAAGGTTTCACTCAACATAGCCAAATGGAGATCCATCTTAGAATTCACACAGGAATAAAGCCATATGTATGTCAGGTAAATGCTTTACAAATAATTACCCATTTATTGTTCAAACCAATGTCAGGTAAATGCTTTACAAATACTTAACCCATTTATTGTTCAAACCAATATAGATTCAATACATGACAAAAACTAATTCATTATATTTTCTACAAAACTGAGTCTCTTGAACCAGCATAAAAATATCTAATTCATTTGCAGTAGCGCATTATACTATAACAATACCTTGGCAAACTGTGAATTTGGGGAATTTTAATTGGCATCAAAGCCATTTCTTCTAAGGACAATTCAAGGCAAAATTCAAAATATTCATACCTAATTATTTAGTTGTTATACCTGTTTATAACTGGTGTGAGTTTAGTTTTTAATTTTTTTTTGCTATCAGAGAAGAGACACAACACGTGCAAGGACTCACATTTAGATGTTTGAATCTAGATTTTATACATTTTCATATTTTGGATTTTTTTTCTGGAAATTTTTACTCTAAAAAATTTCTGTCTGAAAAAAATCTTAAAAAACTCTCATAAAGTAACTACTATTCAATTAACTTAAATTTATTTCTAAAATCTGTTTATAGCCAAATATTGAGGGGAAGAATTGTTTTTTAAATTTTCCTGAGGCATAAAAATTTGTTTGATTCTAGGACAATGAGTCTAATTTCAAATTTTTCACAACTAATATGGCTGGATGATTTTGCTGATGTGTTCACAGAAAATATTTATTTAATCAAATGTTTATGTTCTGCAGGAGTTCTGCTTTTTTTATAATTTTGAAATTATCACCAGTGTTCCAGTGAGTGCAAATATACATATAAATTTGATTGTTTTTATTTAAATTTTGGACATTTTTAGATTTGGGAAATTTTCACTGGAAAATTTCATGACCCTCATGAAATTTTTGTACTAAAATTTTTTTAGTAAAAATTCTAAAAAATTTTAAACAAATTCTACACATCTAAATTTATTTACAAGTTTTGGCGANCATGAATGACATGAAATGATTCATAATTGCAATTGTCAAAATTTATTCTACAAAATCTTTGTGGCGACATCTATAGACTCTTTCCCCAACTTGTATATCCATCTCAAGTCACGTGGTTCCCAGTGTCCCCATATTTTCAAGTATAAGTTCTCGGGCCCTGGTCAATTGCAAAATGATCAGTATAGGATAGAAGTATGTGGTTAATGCTCGTGTATTAATAACCATCATTACATGATCGTTGCATAATATACTATTATTTCAAACAGATGGAGGTATTTTGCTAGTGTATTTCCATCTAGTGGCAATAATAGATATTATAGTGAAAAATTTCTCTGGCAACCCTGAGGATAGCTTTAAGCTCCAAACTTCTCAGATTATTTCTGAACGCAGCTCCGCATTAAATTTAATTTGGATTTAGATTGCCAACTGTATAAAGAAAAAAATAGAAACGAAACTATTTTTGATTTACTTTAACCTTAATTTTCAAAAAGTTGTAAATTAACAAGAGTAATATGGAAATTGAAAAAAATGATGATCCAAGTATAAACCCGGTTTCATTAATTAAATATGATAAAACATGTAGAGCTTGTTTAAATGAAAACGATAATATGGTATCAATTTACCATCCTGACATTAAAAACATGTTCACTTATTGTACTTCCTTAGAAGTAAGCTAGAACACTGGTTTTGTCTACGTAGAATGTAGAATACTTACAATCTTAAAAAACTTATTTTGTAGATAAACAACGATGACAAATTACCGAGTTTAATCTGTACACAGTGCAAAGCAGAATTATTAAGAGCCCATAATTTTAAAAACTTATGTATCAAGTCACATAACATTTTACTGGAATACCTTTCACGTTATAAGTTAGATGATATTGAAATAAACTTAAATGATTTATTACGAACCGATCTCTGTGATCCAAACATAAATATTAATTATGATCTTCCAAGAGAAGACAAAAATGTTATAGATATAGTTGACAAACAAATCAAAGAGATATTAGAAGAACATATTAATAATTGTGATGATGATGACCTTAACATCGAAGATACCAGCCAACTTTTGAAAGACAATATTTACAAATGTAGTATTTGTTCAGAAACTTTTAAATTAGAAGCAGATCTCCAAACACATAAAATAGGTCATCCCAGCGATGGTGTGCCGAAATGTACACTTTGTAATAAGTTATTTAATGATGCCAAAATATTAAGAAGGCACGTCAGAATACATTTACAGCTGAAACCATTTCCTTGCACTATGTGTAACAAAAGTTTCTCAGGTAGGTACATACTCTTTTATAATAAACAAACTACTTTTCTGATAAAACTATTCTTTTTTTTTCAGAATCGGGGAGCTTAACCCGTCACTTAAGAAAACACAGAGGTGAAAAGAGACACATTTGTTCAGCGTGTGGAAAAGGCTTCTATGAAGCCAATGTATTGGCAATTCACATGCGTATTCACACAGGTGAAAAACCGATAACTTGCGACATCTGTAGCAAAAAATTCTCAGATCCTAATGGATTGAGAAGTCACATGAAGTCACACACAGGTGAAAAAAATCATGTTTGCAACATTTGTAACAAGTCTTTCTCACATTCGTTTGTTCTAAAGAAACATTTGAGGGTGCATACTGGTGAGAGGCCATTTGTTTGTCATACTTGCGGCAAGACTTTCACACAGGTACCTACTATTAAAAAGATTTATAGAATATCCAAGATTCTCCTCCATTCTATTTTCAAACAGAACTATGTTCGATTATTTTTTATAACTAAAGGAACAATAAACAATAACTTTAAAACTACTCATTTCAGAGAAAAAAATGTAGTGGAATCTTTTGTTATAAATATGTTTTTAAATACATTGTCAAAACTTCAGACAGGTCGTTGAGAATTTAAATTTTTTTAGATGTGATGCTCCTTAGAAAATTCAAAATTTCTATGCCAATAGATAATTCAATAATATTTTTAAATATTTGATAATGAAACTGTAGGTATTTAAAATTATACTTATAATCACAAAATTCTTATAATAATTGTGTTTACAATGTGTATTTATTCAACTGTAATATAAGTTTATTTTGAATTAAAAAAGTAGTAACTTGAACACGAAATACAGTTAAAAAATCAAATGTATTTATCATAATCTGAAATACTTAACACCAACAAAATTTTTGTTAGGGTAGCAGTATCTACTTGTATTTCGCCACTGGTTGACATAATTGTATTCATATACTTTTACTTAGTAATCATTGACCCAAATTTCACTAATCGACTACAAATATCTTCAGATATATTTGTATAAATAATATTATTCAAAAATTTTAACGTCATTTATAAAAACTAAATTATTTAGAAGATAGGTTCATAGAACTTTTCTTCTCAAAATAATCTAAGAAATAACATCCTGAAATATTTTTGCATACTTAAATACATTGTGAATATTAACGAAATCACACACGGGAGACAGCCAGCAGCTTTTTAAGTAAACAAGAACATATTGTTATTAATACATTATCATTGTAGGTAGATAGGTGTATAAATATTTTTTTTTTCACTAAAATAGTCAGCCACTGATTGTTGTGTACACCCTCGCTTAAATGTTACAACCTTATTCCCCCTACCTCCTCGTTATTTTTTTGTTAAAAAGTCATTTAGTCATGTTTTTGATGTTTCCATTTGTTTTAAAAATACTTGGATATCTAATTTTCTTGAAAGTTTAGTGAATTAATATGCAGAGACTTCCTAACTGATTCCATCATAACTTATTCCATCATGTATTCATTTGTTCGTTTGTATATTTCCTTCGCGTTGGTTATTGAATTTTGGTAAAATTAAAAGTTATCGAAACAATAAGATCAAGGTTTCATTAAAACACAGTATTCTGTTTTACCAGCTTGTGATTGGTCTAATTTTTACATTTTATTCATCCAATCAGCAGCCGCATTATCATGAGTGTACCTGCAACAGTTTGTCATAGGTCATTGTAAATAAGGTATTAATATTGGTGACGCTAAGATTTAGGGATTTTTAGTTGACAATACCAGTCGTGCAATGTTGATTGCCTAAGCTCGGCGGTCACTTGGCTTGTAATTATTTCTGAAAGCTTTGTAGATGATAAAAATATTTGAAAATATTGAAATATGCGTTTTTTAGAGTCACTACGTGAAAATACATATGAGGCAGCATACTGGAGAATTACCATACATGTGCATGATTTGCCATAAAGGTTTCACTCAACATAGCCAAATGGAGATCCATCTTAGAATTCACACAGGAATAAAGCCATATGTATGTCAGGTAAATGCTTTTCAAATAATTACCCATTTATTGTTCAAACCAATGTCAGGTAAATGCTTTACAAATACTTAACCCATTTATTGTTCAAACCAATATAGATTCAATACATGACAAAAACTAATTCATTATATTTTCTACAAAACTGAGTCTCTTGAACCAGCATAAAAATATCTAATTCATTTGCAGTAGCGCATTATACTATAACAATACCTTGGCAAACTGTGAATTTGGGGAATTTTAATTGGGATCAAAGCCAGTTCTTCTAAGGACAATTCAAGACAAAATTCAAAATATTCATACCTAATTATTTAGTTGTTATACCTGTTTATAACTGGTGTGAGTTTAGTTTTTAATTTTTTTTTGCTATCAGACAAGAGACACAACACGTGCAAGGACTCACATTTAGATGTTTGAATCTAGATTTTATACATTTTCATATTTTGGATTTTTTTTCTGGAAATTTTTACTCTAAAAAATTTCTGTCTGAAAAAAATCTTAAAAAACTCTCATAAAGTAACTACTATTCAATTAACTTAAATTTATTTCTAAAATCTGTTTATAGCCAAATATTGAGGGGAAGAATTGTTTTTTAAATTTTCCTGAGGCATAAAAATTTGTTTGATTCTAGGACAATGAGTCTAATTTCAAATTTTTCACAACTAATATGGCTGGATGATTTTGCTGATGTGTTCACAGAAAATATTTATTTAATCAAATGTTTATGTTCTGCAGGAGTTCTGCTTTTTTTATAATTTTAAAATTATCACCAGTGTTCCAGTGAGTGCAAATATACATATAAATTTGATTGTTTTTATTTAAATTTTGGACATTTTTAGATTTGGGAAATTTTCACTGGAAAATTTCATGACCCTCATGAAATTTTTGTACTAAAATTTTTTTAGTAAAAATTCTAAAAAATTTTAAACAAATTCTACACATCTAAATTTATTTACAAGTTTTGGCGATATTTAGCAAATTGTAGAAATAATAATTAATCCTATTTGAGAATATTATGTATTTCCTTTATTGTAGAAATATTGCATCCGCTGTTACTTATTATGCTGAAATTATTTGGGGGGCCCCTGATATGTGCTCAATTTATCCTAAGGGTAATGTGCTTAGTAATTTATCAGAAACTTTCAGCTGAAAAATATAAATTCTTTATTACTCTAATAAATGTTACCTTTAACATAATCTTGATTAACATAGATATTTTTCAAACAATAATGCTTTACAATTTTTTATATATAAAGTAAATTAAATATTTTTATAAAAAAAATATGTATATTTAGGTTTGTGGGAAGACTTTTGCGAGATCTGGCGATCTTAGCACTCACCTGAGGTCTCACACAGGAGAAAAACCATTCTCCTGCAGCCATTGTCATAAGCAGTACGCTACATCGAGCCATCTAAAAGTCCACTTGAGGTCGCATACTGGAGAACGTAATCACATGTGCGTTTACTGTGGGAAAAGGTTTGTTGAAAGTCAGGGTCTGAAAGCTCATATACGTGTACATACCGGCGAAAAGCCCTATGTTTGTAATATTTGTGGTCATAGATTTGCTCAGTCAGGGGCTTTAGCGACACACAAGAAAAGTCATATAGTTAGAAAGAATGGAAATGTCATTCAAGAAGAGACATAATTGGTTGTTTTTTTTTTCACAGTACTCAAGTACTCCAGAAAATAAAATTGAAAATTTTATTACGTTTGTTCGTCATATTTGTATTTGAGTAGCACATTTTACGTGAAAACAACAAATAAGACATTGATTTTTTTTGTTTGAATTTTTTTTATTTATTTTCTTTTTTTTAAATATGACGATTTTCCAGAAATTATGTTCTAATGGTATCTGTATACAGTGTTGTTAGATAGTTTTTCTCAATACACCTTTCTTAAATAAGAATGCTATGGATAAAACCAAAAATCACAATGATGTGTAGACTGACCATACATATAAGACAATAATATATGTGTAGCAAATTAGATGTTAATAGTTTATGATCTCTCAAATTGGTGAATAAATGTTCAATTACATTAGATTATTTTTATTTCTCATTTAAATTTTACCTTTTTTACGTTACACAGGGTGTTTATTTTAAAGCTCGCGATATATCGAATACCAAAACCTAAGTTTTGTAAAGTGTTGTGTAGTACATAAATAATTTTTATTTTGAGCTTGGTTCACGTTTTCATCGTATTTTGAATGCAAATAACATAACAGTATACAGGGTGGTCCAGATTTTAATCAGATGGTACAAATGATTTTAAGTTAAATTCTCATATAAACATGTGGCATAGGAAGCTTTGTTTCTGAGATACAGAGGGTTAAAATTTAAAAGAAACAGCACATCTGATGAAACTTGGGACTATGATTTGTCTAATTAAAGGTAAAAATTCATTGAGTTAACGTATAAATACGTCAGCCAGTCACACAGCACGAGTTGAAAATTTGATCAGTGCTTTTAATTTGTAGTGATTTTTTAAGAAAAACGAATTATTCTAGAGTTACGTTTTTTTAACCTAATATGAGTTAATACAGAATTGAATAAGTAAAAAATAACTCTAAAACTATTAGTTTTGTAAAATAAACCTGTGGGAATTTTTTGTTGGAAATGTGATTTTTAAATAAAATATAAACTGTCAAAACCAATGTTGTTGTGTAGACTGACCATACATACTTATATGTATAAGACAATAATATATGTATAGCAAATTAGATGTTAATAGTTTATGATCTCTCGAAATGGTGAATAAATGTTCAACTAGATTAGATTATTTTATTTTATTTCACCTTATACAGGGTGTTCCTTTTAATACTCGCGATATCTCGAAAACCACAACAAAGTTACCTACATAAGTTCTGTAAAGTGTTATTGTGTAGTGCATATAAATAACTTTTAACTCAACTTGGTTCATGTTTTAATCATATTCTGAAAGCAAATGACATTTCTCCTCATAACAGTATACAGGGTGATTCAGTCAAAATGTCATTAATTTTAACCACGTGTTCGGAAGGCTTAATAAAGACAGAAAATCGGAAAAAAAAAAAATTTTACTCGACTTTTAAAAATGAAGGAAATCAACCCATAACTCCCGCTAAGAGGGCGGCCCTGCCAGATGCCCGGATGCTCGGAAAATTTTGTAACGTAATGTCACGAACAAATCGTCAGCTGAAGCGAACAGCGTTGCCAAGTTCACATCATAATCTGTGGTTCACATTTAATTAATCTGCTTTAGTATACGGATACATATGTACGAAACCAATAAAATGCAAGTAAATAAAGGATCATGCTGCATTTTATTATAACTAATTTTAATAATTGTATTAACTTAGTGCAAAATGTTTTAACAAGCCTGACTTCTCGAAGTCAACTTTCGTTAAAAGAAAATAAATAAAGCAGAGGTTTGTAGGCACACTGTATTTTATCAAATAAAAAAAGTCGGCACACTAAATACCCGAATATACAAAATACACTACACACGGTTACAAAACCATTACCTAACAATTTAAAGCGTTTATTCAAATCTACCACCCTCCATATCTCCCGCATTTTTCCCGCAAAGGAGTTAACATAACACATTTTCAAAAAGTTCAAGCTTTAGAAGCAGCTGATTTCCCCAATCGTCTTGAATTTTGCAATTGGTTCCTAAGTGCAGCAGAACTTTATTAACAAAGTGCTCTGGACGGATGAATGCTGTTTTACTCGTGCTGGCATTTTAAACAGGTAAAAAACATAAGTATTGCTTTCTCAAAAACAATAAGTGCCTACCTAGGTTACACCAAAGTTTAGATTTACACTAAAGTTTACATTTATTATGTAAACTTTGGTTATACGCAACTGCATATTGAATAATAAATTGAAATACTAAAACTGTGTATTATTTAACATAATAAATTATAAAACGTGAAAACGTTAATAATATTAAAAATGATAAATTGTAATAACCGTACATTCGAAAACAATCATCCCTATTCATTACATTCAATTTGATGACACGATTTTCCTTTGATAAAAGACCGACAACTTTTTGCTCTACTTTGCATGGAATACGATCCTACTACAGTTCGTATTAGTCTAGGAGCCAGATCAGGTTCCGTGTACTAGCTATAAAAATAAACTTTTTACAGCCATTTAAACATTTAATTTGTTGATAACAATTAAACTGACCACTTTCAGGCTTTGCGACCAAGTTTTTTGGATTCAGGAGGTCAAAATACTTTAGAATAAGTTGTTTGCAGCCGTGGCACTCTGGTTGGCAACGGAACCCTGTCTGGCTCCTAGACTAAAGTGCACGTGCAAATTAGAAGGTTATTGACCTCGACACAGGTTAGCCTAGGTCGGAAACACGTACCGAGTTGTTTATTTGTCTCCGTCCGATTGTATTTTTATCTTCTATTACTTACAGTCAATATTTAAATACTACATACATTTCACCCTCTCTTTATAATTTATCTAGTGAGTGTTGGTTTTTTATGTCATTATTTCTGTAATGAAATTGAAATGGTTATGAAATGAAATTTAAATTATTTGAACTCTTGGGGTTTTGTAATTTCAATATTAAATTTTATTTAAAGTGAAACAGAGCTAATTTCTTTGCAGCCATAATAGTCACATTTGGTCAGATGAAAACCCGCACACTACTCGTCGGTTTAGCTTTCAGAGGAGGTTCGGTGTCAATGTATGGGCAGGAGTATATGGCGATCGTTTAATTGGGCCGCATTTTCTACCTGAACATCTGAATGGGCCGCGTTACTTTCAATTTTTAGTAGAATTGTTTGAAAACCTTCCCCTTCAGATGCTACGGGATATGTGGTATATGCACGACGGAGATCCGGCCCATTTTGCTCGCGATGTCCGTGGATTTTTAGACGATCAATGTCCCAATCGGTGGATAGGGAGATGAGGGCCCATAATCCTATGGACTTTTGTATATGGGGTTATATGAAATCTGTCGTGTATCACACCGAGGTAGAGAATGTAGAGCAGTTGCGGAATCGTATCGAAGATGCCGCTGAAGAAATACGTAACAACCCTGGTTTATTCCATCGCATCCGCCGCTCATCTATCTAACGTGTACACTTGTGCATAGACGGTAACGGTAATGTATTTGAACATTTGCTTACAGCAAAAAATTAACATTATGATGTTAATAAAAACTGATTTTTGGCAAGGCATGCTCAGACCTCCTCGAGGTTCTTGCTGGGCAACAATAACAATTTAATGTGTTGATTGCATAATTATAAAAAATAATATATAGCATTTTAAATTATTATTGGCTGACATGAGCAAACCGTTTATTTATTATCTTTATGAGCGAAAATATATAAATATGGCAACATTGCATCTAGGGTTGACGTCAGCCGGTTAGTAACAGCCTGAAAAGGGGGGTTAAATAATGATTTGAAATATGTATTTTTTTTCAGCTTAAATATGCATTTAAATTTGTTTTTAATCAAGCCATCGTATTATACTCATTTTTCTTTATCTGCTCTTAAAATTAATGACATTATGACTGAATCACCCTGTATAGGGTGGCCCAATAAGTAGACTATTAGCTCATCTGCTAACATTTTCATATGAACATATGTAGCATAGCAAGCTTTGTTTTTGAGATAGAGTGTTGATACTTAATAAACACCACATTTTTGTAGGTAAATATTTCTGAGGATGTTGGACATAATTGATGAAACTTGTCTAATTAAGGTAAAAATTCTCTGAGTTGACATAAATACGCCAAAAAGTGGCACAGATATAAGAGTTCAGCACCATTTGAAATTCTCTTTTTTCTACATCTTTCTTGACAGATATAATTGATTTCAATTTGTTAGTTCACCAGACTTGAAAACATATTGCAATTTTTTAATGACAAAGTTTTAAGTTTATTTTCAACATTTTAATGAATATCTTCCACTTTAAAAGTTAAAAGATAGAACAGAGAAGTTTTTTAAAAGAAATAAGTGCTGTCGCAAGAAAACGGAGGATCTAGAGAGAAACATGATACTAAAAAATTTTCACCCTGTGGATTATTTCGAACATTCATACATTCTGTAGATCCCCAAACAAAGTGTTAAATATACCGAATTTAAATGGATTATATTAAAAAGCATGTAAAATAAATGAATATAACAAAAAATAATAATCAAGCTTTATGTACTACAAATTTTTGATAACAAAATTACCTGTAATATGTTTTATCAGAGGAATATTGCAACAACTTGCATAATAAATAAAAACAGTATAAAAGAAATATAAATCAAAATCATAGAAAATATAGTACTAACGTAGAATGAAATCTAACATATGAATCATGGAGACTACACAAGGAGCCCGAACTCTATGTAAACAAAAATCTTACAAAAATAAGAGGGCGCTAGTGTTCCATATGTCCCATATGTAGAGAGGGGGATAAAAAGCGGCAGTTTGAATTATAAATCAATCATGTCATTTTTGTGATGTGTAAATAATTTTAAAATAAATAATGAAAATATGTCATTCCGGACTGTAATTAAACTAAATAGATAATAAAAATATTAGCTTTATGAGAAAAATTTGGTGTTCGTAGACAGAAACTAGTTTTCAAGGAATTTATGACGTGATCTTGTTAATATTAACCTATAAGTAAGGTTTATGTTTTTGATAATTACTTTGTTAAAGATTTTAGTTTAATGTTAGTAAAAAATAGTCACATTTTATACAGGAAGTTCCCTTTAAAAAAATAGTACCTAATTCTTGTATTATTAATATAGAATTTTTACTTGTGGTAATAAAAAATAGAATATAAAAAAACTCGGCGTTTTCAATAAACTTTTTAAAATATTACAGATGTCCGATTTTAAGTCCAGTGATTCAGATGACTTATTAGACGCATTGTCCAGCTTGAGTGATGATGAAATAGATTTACTCTAAGAAACAGAAATAGTAAAAAATAAGAACTACTTTGAAATTACTGTACCTGAATATAGTGGCCAAGTTTTTTTAACATTTACGTGTTAGCATCAGGGAAGTAGCTAACAGAATTGAAGAAAAATTTGCCATTTCTAATTATTTCACCCATGATTCTGGTAAATTTTGCATTGCCTTAAGCTCTACAACAACCAGAAAAGTTACATACTTGCTAAGTAACTTGTCTCCACAAATTATAGAATAGAATGGCCGAGATAATTAGGCAGTTGTAATCGAACAATATTTTGCCCAATATGAATTTCCAGAGGTTATAGGAATAATTGATGGGAAAGCAATTCATATAAGATAGGGTATATCACAATCCATATTTTTTTTGAATAACCAATAATATACTATATTAGTGTAACTGAAAACTGACTATGGAAAGTCGATAAATTATGGTTGGACAATTTCTAAGCTGATTGCCATGTTGTCGGTTTTGGCTTCTCAATGCTTCGAGAGTTATATCGCTCTCTTCTTTAGAAGAGATTTGGAACTGTTTCTTTTGAAGGTCAGAATGAGATGTCTCTCAAAATTTTGTAAAAATAAAATGTTTATCTACCAAAGATTTCAATGTTTTATTAATTGAATAAAAAAATCGAAATTATTTGTGCCTAATTAAAATAAAATATTTATTCATAACAAACAAGTAACAAAGTAAATATATATTGCAAATAAAACAGGAACTCTTCTTAAAAATAAGTAATACTTGTCTATCTTCTTAAAATTTCATTTTGTTCATGAAGCAATTGATTTCCATGTTTAAATA